AAAACACATCTTTGATTTTCAAGAAGCATGTTGAGATTATCTCTACATTTTACAAAATTTTCAAGTGTTTTTGTTAAATCATTAACATTGTTTTTTAAAGTAGTTTTCTCATTAGAGATAGTATCAAAATCATTTTTCAAAATAATTTTTTCTTTCTTTAATTCTTCTACATTAATAGATAAAGATGCAACAGATTTCTTCAACACATTATTTTTGGCACAAACTTTTCTAAATTTATCTTGTAGTTCATGGAATGCACTTTCAAGTTCTTCATAAAGAGTAGTTACCTCATATTGAGTAGAGTCTTCATCTTCAAGAGCCAAGAGACATAAGTTGGCTACTTTATTTTCAATTTCATCACTTGAGCTTTCATCTTCACTTTTTCTCCAAGCTGCTACCATGGCCTTTTTGTTTCTTTTGTAGTCTTTTCCATGATTTTTCAATTTTGGACAATCCATCTTCATATGTCCAGTATTTTTGCACTCATAGCAAATAATAGGCTCTTTCTTGTTATCTTTGTTGTACTCTTTCTTGAAAGGTCTTCTTCTTCCATAATTGTTTTTCTTGAAGTGCTTTTTGAGATTTCTACTAAACATGGCATAGTTTTCATCCTCACTAGAGTTTTCATGTTCTTCTTCATTTGATGAGGCTTTAAATACAATTTCACTTTTCTTTTTGTTTTCAACATCCTCATGTCCTTTCATGGTGATCTCATGAGTCATAAGGGAACCCATAAGCTCATCCAATCCAAGTGTGGAGAGATTTTTAGCTTCTATAATGGCCGTGACCTTTGTTTCCCAATTCTTTGGTAAACACCTAAGAATGTTTCTCACTAACTTACTGTTAATATAAGTTTTGCCAAGAGATTTCAAAGAGTTTACAATTTCAGTAAATTTAGTAAACATACTTGAAATAGATTCATCAGAGTTCATTTTAAACAATTCATAACTATGAACAAGCATATCAATACGAGATTCCTCCACTTGGTTTGTACCTTCATACGTTACCTCAAGTTTGTTCCAATTTTTTTTTGCCGAATCATAACTTGAAATTCTATTATACTCCTTAGAGTCTAATCTACAAACAAGGGTGAGTTTGGCTTTAGCATTAGTTTGCAATAACTTATGATCCTTTTCATCACATTTATCTTCAGTTTTAGGTACACTAATATTGTCTACTAATTTGATAGGAATTTTTGGACCTTTGGTGACAATAATCCACATGGAATAATCAGTGGCTTGTAGGTATAGGGTCATATTATCCTTCCAATGACTATAGTTGTTTCCGTCAAACAATGGTGGCCTATTTGTGCTTGTCCTTCAGCTAAGGTTGCCATGGATCAAAACTCCCAGATGGTTAAATCTAAAACAAGAGTCTAGGCTCTGATACCAATTGTTATCCAAAAGACAACCTAAGAGGGGGGGGTGAATTAGGTTTTTACAAATAAAAATAATAATACTCTAATAAAAATTATGACTAGCACAATAGATAAATATAATTAATGAAATAAAAATAATTAAAACAGGTGTTCTAACAAATATGTCAATTAATGATTTTAGCACAGTAAAAATATGAAATATAGCTATGGAAATTTAAATATATTAAAGAGATAAGGGAGAGAGAGGCAAACAAATTCATAGTGGTTCGGCTTCAACTCGGCCTACGTTCACTTCTCAAGCTTCACTTGAGATTTTCCACTATACTCTAGCTTCACAGGATGCTAGCAACCTTTTCACAAATGGAGCAATCCTCCACAGATTTTACGTAGACTTTCTAAGTCAAGAACACTATGTGTACTACACTCTTACATGGTTGAAAAGAATGTGTTTTTGCTTTCACAAAAAGCTACAAGAATTATCTCTCAAAGATAGATATAAAAATGAAGCTATGATTTTTCTATAAACCTCACACAGGAAAGATGGGCTTAAAATTATATGTCTCAGTGTATAATTTCTGAAAGAGGATGTAAACAAAAATTGAAGAACACTTCTCAGAGAATTTTTCAGAGAATAGATGTGAGTGATTATAGATCAAAAATTTTTTTCTGATTTTTTGTAACTTGTTTACATTAGAAGCTTTGGTATATATAATGAAACTTATAGCCGTTTATAGCCGTTGTATTCATTTGAATTTACAGTTGTTTATACCCGTTGTACTCCATTATTATTAATTTGAATATCTTTGTGAAAGCAAATACTAATTTGAATATCTTCCACTCCATCATTACAAATTTGAATATCTTCCACTTGAACCTTTTGAACTGTTGCTGTGCTGGGCTGTTTGAACCTTTGTTTTGGGCTGTTTGAACCTCTGGTTTGAGCATTATTTTTAGGTTGAAATGAACTCCTGATTTAAGCAAATATTAAATACATTCAAACAATATTTAGGATAAAAGTTTAGGTGAGAAATAATGGGACAAAATAAATTTTGATTATATTTTTCTCTTTCAAATAAATTAAAACATGATTAAATAAATCATCAAAATAAATTTTGGATTCTATTAAAACATAATTTAATAAATTATCAAAATAAATTTTGGATTCTATTTTTCTTTTTCAAATAAATTAAAATATAATTAAATAAATCATCAAAATAAATAAGTCTAACAAAAAATTATCTTCACATATATGTGATGTCATAATTATATCAGCCATACATCACCTAGAAGTGGATAAGACAAAACGGGACTTAGCCCTTAATACAGTCTAAACAAAAGTCTTGTTCCAAAAGAAAAGGGAAAGGTAAAACAGACAGCATGTGCACTTGACTTGGACGTTGAAATACTTGGGAACCTCTTCGGGAGGCACTGTGGTTGGCTTGACAAAATAGAATTCCAGGCAACAGCTTAAGCCTGGTCCCGCACTTGATCACCTATATACACAAATAATACAATGAGCCGGAGCCCAGTGAATAACCAACAAAGTAAAGGGCTTATGATTGATGTCCAAAATACATTTAGAAATCATATTACAAATCGAAACAGATTTAGATTCACGTGCTTATAAAAATTTCATAAACAGTTATACGTGGCACATCCTTTAGTTAACAGATCAAATTGGTCATAAAGGCCCACGTGCATAGTCGGTACCGACGACCATAATGATCAACATCTTTGTGCACAAATAGCTATGGTATTGTTACTCCCAGGCAAGGGCCACGTGAACATAGGCCTCGGTATTGTTACCCCCGGGTAAGTGCCATATGAATATAGACCACAATATTATTACCTCTAGGCAAGGGCCACGTGCATATTCGCCACGGTATTGTTACCTCCGGGCGAGGGCCAAGTGAACTAAGGATGCCACAAATACATTTCAGAAAAATGGACATTCATTCATGATTCATAAAATAGTATTTCAAAAAACAGATCATATCATTTTAATCAGAAAATACTTATAATCAAACATAACTTGATAGAGTTGTTACTCATAAATAGCTCCGGCAAAAGAATAGATCACTTGGACAGAACAGATTGATCAGACGGGTGCTAACATGTGACCTACACAAACACATGACAGATATATTTGAACATTGCCCCAAAAGTGCTTAACTTATCGTTCTTCTCTCTTAGCATGTGCTTCTAACTCTTACCCTCATTATTGTTACTTAATCATTGCCTGAGAATTCCTTAGATGTAATAAGGATGTAAGGATGCAAGGATGCACTTGGAAAACACTTCTGAAATAGGATAGTTCGCTCGAGCGCAACTTTGGTCACTTGAGCTAACCCCTTAGTCTACAAAACTTCTGGGAGCTCTCATTTTACGCTGGAGCTCAACTTTGGTCACTCGAGCCAAGGCTTAAAAATAAGAGTGGTCGCTCGAGCTCAGGTCTTATTGCTTGAGCTAATCCTCAACTCTGCAAAAGTACTAGGAGCTCAAATTCTTCGCTCGAGCGCAGACTCCACCACTCTTGCGAAGAGTGCAAATTCTGGAATTTCCAGATTGCACTCCCAACTTCAAAACTCAAATTCAAGGTGTCAAAACACATCATTTGCCCCAAAACTTGAGAAAACATGTCTAAACTTGTAATACATGAAGGATTAAAGATCATTTCGCAAAATCAAGGCCCAAAAGCATGCCAATTGCTCAAACCTCAAACTTAAAATTTGGAAAACATGACATGCATGAGTTGATATGAACTTCAACCTTCCCAAACATGATCAAATGAGGTAAAATGACATGGAATGTGATAAATTCTCAAAACAAAGCTAAGGTATACACATGCATGTAAGAATTCTTTTGAAATTTGCTTCAAAACATGGTAAAATGAGCATGCATGCATGATTAGCTTCCCAATTTTATTTCTTTAGGTTGAATTATGCATTAATCAACTTGATTCTCTTGGATTCTCTTGTAAACTAACTTAATGTCTCAAGTTCAGGGTTGAATCTTTTACCTAGACTCTCAATTCTCTTGAATCTTAGCTATTCCTTGTATGATTCATCCAATTCTTTTAATTTTCCAAGAAATTCCTCCTCTTTAAGCTTTGATCTCAATGTTCTCTCTTCTCTCCTCTTTCTACATTTTTGTCTCCACATGATGAGAAATGAGAGTGTCAAAATGAGTTTAGAGTCTAACTTGGCCTTATATAAGCTTGGAGTAAATTAATTTAATTACTTCTTGTTTAGGCTAATTAACTTTGATTATTTTATTCTAATTATTTGGTTTTGAATCAAATTTCAATTAAATCTACCATAAATTGCTAAAAATTCCAAATTACACATTAACCTAGACAATTTCATGATCGGATGCCGATAAGCCTTCGTTTTGTATACCGAAATAGAAATACAAACAGATATTCCTACCATGAACATATATAAACACAATTAACACATAGCACTTGCCATTAACTCAAAATTTTGTCTTAATTACTAATTATGCATTCTTAATCATGGTTGAGTGACTAATCACAGTTCGGGGTCATTACAAACTACCTCGATTGGGTTGCTACGTTGAAGAATATGGCTGTTCTTGAGGACTCCCCTCTGGGAGACATTAGCAAACTGGACGTGCCCTTCCCCCCTCTCCAGTCCAATCCGAGGAGGAGGAGGAGGAAGAAGAGCAAGAAGAAAAGGCTAATGCCGACGCCACTGCCACTGGGACCAAGTCCCTAATTCTGAATGATCATGTCCTAGACCTGACTGAGGATGATGGGGATGAGGTTTCCAAAAGCATTTCTTCCAAAAACGCCGAGGTTGCTGCTGCCAAGAAGAGTCTTAATGAGACTCTAAAAGAAATTGATGAAGAGATAGCGGTCGAGGTTAAGAATGTGGCGGAGCAAGCCGATGACGATGTTCTAGAGCCTAGTACTTAGGAATTTTTCATTTCCCTTTAGTTTGTTCTTTTTCATTTCTTGTAAGGCTGAAGTGCCTCTTTTTTTGATGTAACAGAACAAGTGCTTTCTTTTAAATGCAAGTTTATCTTCTTTCTTCACTAAGTGTTGCATGTCTTTTATGATTGTTTTTTCTTGCTGCTTTTGTACGCCTTGTCTAGCCTTGTGATTTCTTCTAAGTATGATGCCTTCTGGATTTAGTATCTCAAGCTAGCGTATCTTGGATAGAGCCACTATATATTATCTCAGATCGGCGATCTCGGATAAGTTTAATGTTACGACCCAAACCTGCCTCTATAGGTTTAGCATCGTAACCGGTCAGTAATCCTTGTATTACCAAAGGCCTTTGAACAGAATAACGCATAATCAAGGGGCTGTGGAAGCAAATATACAAAATACAACGTCCATTGAGCTGTGCAGACATACATGAGGAAAAATAGTTTTAAATTTTATAAGCATACTCATGACATTGCATAGGTACAGCAATTATACGTCACCCCAAGTATAGATAACCAAAAATAAACTGTTCATTAAACAAGAGAAAATAAAGTCTTGAACGTTCAAAAAGACATGGCCACATGACTTGACTTGGTTCGGAACCTCTTCGGGAGGTGCAAAGAGTGGTTGACAAAACGGAATCCCAGGCCATCAACTCTGGCCCTGATCACGTGCCTGGTCACCTACATACATAATATAAATAGTGAGCGGAAGCCCAGGAAATAATAACAAAGTAAAGGGTTTCCATGAATGATGTCCCATATCAACTCCAGAAAATACATTCATATTTATTTCAAAAACAGAAGCAGATCCATATTCATAATCTTGTCCAAATCATACACAGAAATTAGAGTTCATGCTAAATCATACGTGGTACATCTATTAGCGCTAACAGAACAGATACAGAACAGATGCAGAACAGATGGTGGTTATGAGTAACCAGTTCATAAAGGAACCTTCGGATCCTAGTAACAGATGACAGATATGCTGAGCTCCATGATGGAGCCTCCGGTAGGGGTAACAGAGTGCAAACATAATAAGTTCCATAATGGAACCTCCGATACTGGGTAACAGCTAACAGATATCACATGATGCTAAGGATGCCACGAATACATTGTCAGAAATTAGACAATCATTCATTGTACAGAGCATAGCATTTCAGAAAACAGATCTTATTTCATCATACAGAAAATAAATAAAGTGGAACATAGCTTTACTAAGTTATTACTCACAGTTGACTTCGGGTACAGACAAATAGAGCAGACTAATCAAACGGTTTACGGCACGTGACCTACATTAACACATAACAAATACACATTTGAAATACATGTTGGAATATATCTAACTTATTACGTTCCATTCTTACTGTGTTTCTATATTTTACCCTCATTATTATGTCTTAATCTTGGCTTAGGAATGCCTAGGATGCAATGAGGATGCCAAAATGTACTTGAACACATTTAATAAAACTTGCTGAAAACATGGGTCACATTCGAGCGCAATTTCCTTCACTTGAGCGGACATGCAAAATGTGAAGGGCTGCTCAATCATAACTTCCTTCACTCGAGTGGTCTGCAAACTTTGAAAAAGTACTGGTTGAGTGATTTTCATGTTCAATGGACGCTCAACGGTCGCTCAAGCGTGAGACTCAGGTCCTTGCTCGAGTGCAACTCTTGACGCTCGAGCATTCTGCAAAACATGAAACTTCTGGGAGCATGTATTTCACGCTCCAGCGAACCTTTGGTCGCTCGAGCGGAGATACAAAAAACAAAGGTGGCTGCTCGAGCGTAGAATCTCACGTTCGAGCTGAAGTGCAGAATCTAGAATTTTTAAATTGCACTCCTAAGCTCCAAACTCGAGTTCCACACCTCAAAACTCATCTTCTTAGGCCAAAATTCTGGAAAATATCTAAGAACTTGTAAAACATCATGGTTTGAAGCTTATTTCATGAAATCAAGGCCCAAAAGCAAGTCAATTGTGCAAAAATTCAACTTGAAATGTACAAACATGCTATAAACATGACATGCATGTATTCATTTGACCTCATAGCTTCCAAAACATGATCAAATGTGGTCCAATGGTAAGAAATGTTATGAATTCTTCAAACCATGCTAGGATTATAACATACATGAGAAGAAATCTTTGAAAGCAACTTCAATTTGCTATGAAAAGAGCATGCATGCGTGATATGGTCTTTCTACCAACTCATTAGCTCAAGATTTGCTTAATTCAACTAAATTCTCTTGAATTCTTGTAAGAGTGAGTTAAATGAAAGCTTAGGGAATGCAAGTCTTACCTAAAATCCCTAATTCGTTGAATTCTAGGTGAGTCGTGGTGAGTCCTAGCTCAATTCTTCAATTGCCCTTTAGTTGCCTGGCAATTCTTCCTTTTTCTCCTTGAAATCAATTCTCACATTTAATTCCCTCTTATTCTCACGTTTGTGTGTGCATAGGCTCAAGAATGTGTTGAAATGTAACCAACAAGGATGAGTGGGAGTATAAAAGGTGCCTTATATAGGCTTGGATTGAGTAATTCATTAATTAGGCTTAATTGGGCATTAATTTTCCTAATTTAATTTCTTCGAATCGAATTTTAATTAAACCTACCATAATGTTCTAAAAATTCCAAATAACACATAAATCACGTCAATTTCTGAATCGGATGTCGATAAGGCTTTCAATTCGCAAATCAAAACTGAAATGAATAGATTTTTCTACGTTAAACAAATATAAACACAAATAATGCAACACACATGTAATTAATTCAGAATTTGATCTTAATAACTTGTTAGACATATGAAATCATAGATTAACGTTAATCATGGGTTGGGGTTGTTACATTTAACCTGCAATAATTCACATTGGCTAACTTCCACTTGCCAAAATGTTTTGAAATTTTTTTACAAGTGTCGTACTTTAACTTATTTATGCACTTTTTCCCCTAATGCAAATCTAAGTATGACTTAGGTTTGCATTAAGGATACATTGTCTGAATCTTGCCTAAATCTGTTTTAGACATCCATGACCGAGGTCATCATGTTTAACTCGTCTAAACAAAACACTTAAGGCTTAACTTTAGTGCACCAAGAGTACTATCTTACCTCGGCTTTTCATACAAACTAGCCAGATTGTGGCTGGTTTCGTCTTGTTTCTTATTGAATCATCTCTTTAACTTAGTTTATCATTGCAAATCTAAGTTAGTCGTCTTGTTCACTTTGGGAACATTGGCTTAAGACTTTTCAGTCTTATCTATAAATTTCAGCAACATTTTGTAAAGAACAAAATTGTACTAGTATTTTATTAATACGTCGGCTAAATCATTCGGATTACATATCAAAAAACATGAAAACTTAATGGTAAAAGAATTTCAAATTGCTGGTATTCTATGGTCTTGGTAGCTCCATGCCATTGTTGTCTTGTAACTGGTATGCGCTGTTGTTGGTGGCTGAAATGATTCTATACAGTCCTTCTCAGTTTGGGCCAAGCTTACTGTCACGACCCGCTCCCCCTTACCCAAGGGTTAAGCATCGTGATGACCAGTAATTGAAGTTACCTCCGGCCAATTCATAAACAAATTAAAACGCGAGCGGAAGTAATATTTAAGTGAGGGTACCAAAATAATCATCAGAGCTTCTATTTTTATTACAAAATTTACTGACCAAAACGGCTGATATTTACGTATAAAAAATATCATAAAAGTGCTGTGTGTGTCTATTTCGCAGCCCCGCGCCTAAGACTTTCCAAAAGCTATTTCTGAATTGTACCGTTTCTTGAAAATTGGTAAACAGCTATAAGCACATGACAGGGTGAGAAATATTATACTAAGAGTATAAGGGACACGAAATAACCATGGATAGTTATGTAACTGAAACATTTAAAATAACTTAGTTTGAACAAATAATCTTTTAAGTAGCAAAACTGAGATTATGTAAATAAATAACCATAACCACGGTACCGAACATGACAGAACAGAGGTCACAGGAGTGACAGTCAGAACAGAGGTACGGATTCAAGAGGTGGCTCGTACAAATTATAGAGGTGGCTCCCACAATAGTGTAGCACTTATCTCCGCACAACACTTTGCTCCGCACAGAATAGAGGTCAATAGATCCATGATAGACAGAGGGCCACAAAGTGACCAAACAGAAGCCAATGGTTATTCAAGTCCCTCAAGGCGTGAGACTCCCGTGGTGGTTACTTACAATACATAATTGTTTATAAGGTTAGAGTCAAATATTCTTAAAAATATAAACAAACATATCCATGGGTTTCATTTAAGCAAACAGAGTTTAGAAATCAATCCACGTAATTAAAATATTAATATAATTCATAAAAATTTATAAAACATAACTTGTATAAAACAAATAAGGTAAGTCAAAATATACATAAAATATATTATGATAACTCAAGGTATAATATAACTCACCTTAATATTGACCCGTAGCCTTTCCTTTACTAGCACAACCTTCCTATCTACTTACCTCCCCCTCTCTCTTTTCTTTTCTTTTTTTCTTTCCTTAATGATTTCGGTCACTCTAAGGCTTCTGATAAGTTCTTCTCAATTTATAGAGAAATAGAAACGCCCTGTGGTCGACACATGGCGATCTTGCGAATTCTCAATCCTTCTTCATAATTCATTCATATCTCCTTCATTAAGAACGTAGATTATCACTTATCTATATATATATATATATATATATAAGATATTTACATTTTGGCCCAGATTCTTAATATAACTATATAAACAAATTAACCCCTAACTAAATTATACTTTATCGTATAACCACAGAAAATTATTTATTTATTTTACTACCACACCCACTATTATTATTATTATTATTTATTTGCTCTTACTTTTGTATTTATTTATTTACTATCTTTAACTCTAATTTGGCCCAACTAGTATTATAATTCCATATTTGTGTTAATTTGACCCCAAATAATAATCCCTAATTAATCTCATATTTGATAACCCAATGCCGAGTTAGATTTATATATTTATTTATTATTATTTATTTATTTAATAATATATCATCACATACAACCATAATTATATTTAGCTATAATTATTTATGCAGTATTTAATTAAACGTTCAAGGTGTCACATTTCTCCCCTCCTAAATAGAAGTTTGTCCCCAAACTTGACGTACCTTAATTTTCGAAGAGATGTGGGTATTTGGCTCGCATTTGACTTTTCGTTTCCTACGTAGCTCCTTCGATACGATGATTTCGCCATAAGACCTTTACCAGCGGTATGGTCTTGTTTCGGAGAATTTGATCACGACGATCGAGAATCTGCATTGGTTGCTCTTCATAAGAGAGATCTTCTTGAACTTCCAGGTTCTCATAGTCGACGACATGTTCTGGATCTCGGAGGTACCATCGAAGCATTGAAACGTGAAACACATTGTGGACATTCAGCCTCTAAGCTGGTGCAGTTCCCTAGATAGCCATGGTAGCCCCACAGCCAGGTACCTGTTTCATCCCTCAACAAACCTCGATATCTAGATTGGCCGGGATCTTCTTTGGAACAACCATCAGTGTTCTGTTTCAGTTTACCTACAAAGGGAGCAAGCCAGTTAGTTAGTCTTGGTTTAGAATAGGTGGGATAGAGGGGGTTTTGGAAGGCTTCCTGAATCTGTTTTGTTTGTTGGAGAATCTTTGTTGTGCTGATGGAAGTTGGCTGGATGTGGTGTTCAAACACCTCTTTATTCCTATGTTTCTAGATATGCCAAATGGTAGTTAAAAGTATTGTTTCCCATTGCAATCCAGCCATCTTACTTGGGCTTTTCATGTTTGATTTTAGCCAAACAAGCAGTGCTTTCCTATCTTCTTGTTACCACCAGTTGAGATCTTACATATTCAGCTAAATGTATTTAGCTTTGATGCATTCTCTAAGAAGGTGTGACATATCTTCTGTATGGCCTTGGCACCTCTGGCAGATATTAGAATCTGTGAGATTTCTGGTGAGTCTCATCTGGTTTGTGAGTAACCTACTATGCATGGTTAGCCAAAGGAAACATTTAAGCTTTTCAGGGGCTTTAATTTTCGAAATCCACTGCCAATCTAACCCATCTTCATCTTGTTTAATAAAAGCATTATAGGCTGCTGAAGAGGAGAAATTGCCATTAATAGTCCCTTGCTAGGAGGGTGTGTCCATGAGAAAGTTATAAATCTGGCTCTATAGATGCTAAGGATGTTATTTTTATCCTGTTGGGTGAGCAGATGCTGGATAAGATTCAGATCCCATTGACCTTTTTCATCAATTATGGAGCTAACTTTCATAGTATTATCAATATGAGATCCTTGATAACTTTTACACAGTGGCTGAGTGCCACACCACCAGTCAGTCCATAGAGAGGTTTTCTCCCTATCTTCCACATTCCATTTGATGTTATCCTCTAAAACTTTTCTATTATTGATTATACTTTTCCATATGAGGGAAGCAGTCCTCTTTTTGGGTCAAGTGGAGATGGAGTGGTGTTGAAGGTATTTGGAATAAAGGATTTTACACCAAAGGTTGTCAGCATTACATGGAAGTTTCCGTCCCAATTTAGAGACTAAGGTAGAGTTTTGGTCCCTAGATTTTCTAATGCCCAACCCACCATGCTTTTTACTCTTACAAACTTGGTTCCAGTTTAGAAGATGAACTTTCTTGACAGTATCAGGGCTGCCCCAGATGAAATCTCTGTTTAAGCTATCAATTTTGTCACAAATATTCCTGGGAATTTCCATGGTTTGCATGAGGTGATTAGGAATGGCAGAGGTAACAAATTGCACAAGGGTAATACAACCCGCAAGAAATAGGGTATTGGTCTTCCACCCAGAAAGCCTGTTGGTGATCTTTACAATGATGTCTTTAACATGATTTCTACTAATTCTACTGTGTAGAACAGGAGTGCCTAGGTATTTGCCAAGGTCATGAGTAAGGCTTATACCACTTTGGTAGCTCAGGGACAGGGCTTCACTCCTAAGGATATTAGAGGACACAAAGAGTTTGGACTTTTGAAGATTAATTTTCTGACCAGAAATTTCATAAAAATCATTCAAGACTTCCATGATGCAAACACAGTTTCTAGTGTTGGCTTTAGTAAAGAGAATAAGGTCATCTGCAAAGAACAGGTAAGAGATAAGAATGCTATGTCTGGCAGCTTTAAGACTTTTCCAAACTCCACACTGGGTTTTGAGTCTAATCATGTTAGAAAGGTTTTCCATGCAAAGCACAAATAAGTAGGGGGATAGAGGGCCCCCTTGTCTGAGACCTCTCCCAACACTAACGTTAGGGAGGCTCTCTCCATTCCAAATGATAGAAGAGTTAACATTAGACATACAATTCATGATGAGAGAAATCCAATTAGGGTTTAGATTAAATTCCTTGAGGGTGTGAAGCACAAAGTCCCAAGAAATAAGATCATAGGCTTTCTCAAGATCAATTTTAAAGACCATACCACCAGTTTTTCTTTTCTTATTTCTAAGGGTGTGAATAATCTCCTAGGTTATAATAACATTGTCAGTGGTGGTTCTACCAGGGATAAAACTACTCTGATTGGGGGTAATAAGGTCAGGAAGCAATGGTCTAATCCTGTTGACAATGATTTTGGTAATGATCTTGTAGGTCACATTACACAGACTTATGGGCCTAAAATGCTTGATAGTTTTAGGATTGGGCAGCTTAGGAATAAGAACAACTTGAGTTTCATTAACCTCCTTAGATATGTTTTTGGTAGTAAAACATTGTTGGACAAAATCACACACAAAGGACCCCACAATATTGCAGTTTTGATGGTAGAAGAAGGCTTGTAGACCATCAGTCCCAGGAGCTTTAAAGCTTTGATGCTTTTGATGGCATGCCAAATATCTTGATTAGTGACAAGACTTTGCAGGATCTGATTATCATCTCTAGTGAACCAAGTAGTTGTGATATCCCTCAAATGATAAAAAATAAAGGTTTCCTCATGTTTAAACAGATTACTAAAATGGAGTTGTATGTGAGTTTTGATATCCTCAGGATTGGACAACCAATTACCATTTTCATCTTTGATCATATTGATTTTCAATTTTTGGCATTTATTGAGGGTAGTGATGTGGAAGAATTTAGTGTTGAGGTCGCCCAAACTGAGCCATTTAACTCTAGATTTTTGGAACTAGATGATTTCTTCTCGGAAAAGGGTTGAGTTGTATTGTTTAATGAGATCTTGTTCTAAAAGGAAAATGTTGTGAGAAAAGGTTTGGGCCTGGGATTTTTGGATGCCCTCTATACGAGTAAGCAGAGATCTTTTCCTTTTAAAGACATTACCAAAGACTTCTTGGTTCCAAGTTTTAACATTGTGAGTGAATTTAGAAATAGCCCCTACAAGATTAGTATTCATATTAGCCTAAGATTGTAACACAACATTAGAAAAATTAGGGTGGCAGAGCCAAGCAGCTTCAAACCGAAAAGGCCTATTCTTAGGGTTAAAGGGGTGCATACCTTGGATGAGAATAATGAGGGGAAAATGATTAGAGTACATTCTAGGTAGTGTCCTCACAGTGCCTTCTGGGAATAAAGCTCTCCATTTGTCGTTGCTCATGGCTCTGTCAAGGTACTCCATGGTGTTAGCCAAACCTCTCATATTGTTGGTCCAGGTGAGTCTAGGGCCAACGCTGCCAAGGTCAATGAGGTTGCAATTATTAATTCTTTCTGCAAATTTCTAGGCTTTGTTATGGTTATAGTTAGTGGAGTAGCTTCTTCGTTCAGTGCTATTGGTGAAGTCATTGAAGTCCCCTGTTACAAGCCAAGGTTTCTCTATGCTATTAGTAGTTTCTTCAAGGTTATCCCAGAGCTCCTCCCGTTGAAAGGCGTTAGGGCTGGCATAAACAGCAGATAAGATCCACTCCTCATAGTCCTCTTTGTGGATAGTAGCTTGGATGACTTGGTTGGTAGCGTGAGAGGCTCGAATGGTGACTTAAGTTGTGTCCCAGATAAGCCAAATGCCGCCCAATCTTCCTATTGGATCCACAATGGTCACAGCCATAAACCCCATATGATTGAAGAAGTTACCCATAGAGCTATAGGGGATTTTGGTTTCCATAAGAATGAGGATAGTTGGTTTGTGAGATTTGATAAGCTCACGCATGTTACGTTTGAAGGCATTATTGTTTACCCCTCGACAATTCCAAAACATCATTATGAAAGAGTCCATAGTAGGGTAGTTGGGGAGAGGATCAGTGACCAAAGCCTTGAGGATATTTCAAATCTGGCTATGATCTTGATCCCTTGATCTCATGGACGCCATCTGCACTGAGTGATTGGATAACTCTGCTCTAAGATTCCAGCTAGGTTCTATCCTCAGCCGTATCTGTTCGATCCACCATACCGTAGTGACAAGGTGAATTGATTCTTTCCCTGGATCTAATAACAGGCTCAGAGGGTGATTCTCTATCTTGCGTGATGAAACTTCTAGCCTTGTGGTCCCTTCGGTCTCCATGATTAGACCTTAGGTCGGGAGGTTTCCGCTGTTTGGTAGTTGAGGATCCATCACTACTTGCTATTATAATGTCTGGGGGTGGTGGGTTAGGTGTATGGCTTAAAGGTGCTTTCTCATGAAGATCTACCATGGAGATTTCTGGAGATTTAGTGTTTATACCCAATGAGCTGGGGTTAGCATGCATCAGATCACTAGTCTGATGGCTACAAGGGACCTGGGACAGAGTGTCCTCGCCATTAGCTGTATTTTCCTGAGGGGAAAGCTGGTATGGTTGACTTGGTGAGCTAGGGTGAGTGGAGTCTTGTGGAGGTTGGGCTGTGGTCTTGCTTGGTCCAACTGGGGTTGGAATGGACAGACTAGGGGCTTCCTTTTCTAAGCCCAAACGTGTTGTTTTCTTTCCACGAGCTTTATCCTCCTCTTGTTGGATATCTTTGCCTAATTCGGTGAATCTATTGGTGTTGGAGCTTGGCCTAGTAGATTGGGCCTTTCTGTGGATTGTGGGCTTACGAGTCCGTTTGGTCACCATCATCCAAGGGCCGTAGGTAACATCAGCTGTCTTAGTTGATTGCAGGTTACTGTTTTTTTTATTGGAATTAGCCGTTGCTTGATCTTTGTGGTTGGAAACAGCTAGTTGGCTTTCCTCCGACGGCGGGGTGCTCCGGTGAGTCTCTTGAGGTTTGGGGTTCGCAGCTTGGTATTTGCAGAATTCTTTCTGGTGATCTATCCTGCCACAGAAAAAACAAAATGAGTGGATAGATTCATACTCTATATTATAACTTTTCTTACCTAATAAGAACCGGGGGAAAAGGGGCTTGCGCAGATCCATTTCAATGCAAACTCGTGCAAAACGGCCTCTGGTAGCCATGGCTGTGGTCAGATCAATCTTCAGTGGCTTACCAATTTGTTTAGCAATTGCATATAAGACCTTCTCTTGGAAGTATTCTAGCGGAAGCTCCGAAAACCTAACCCAAATGGTGGTAGTGGTTTCAAAAGCTTCTGATGCCTTGAAGTCAGGCTCCCATTTTCGCACAGTAAGGTAGTGCTCCATGATGACCCATGACCCTCCTGAATAAACTTGTGCACAGTCATCCAAGCATGAGAATTTAAACAAAAAATAATTGTTACCTAAATCGATATCATTGAATTATTCTTGTAGGCCCCGTAAGTTCTTTACTCTTGTGCAGAGAATTTTGTACCCAATACTTTTACCTAGCAGTCGGACTATCAAAGTATTGGTCCAAGGCTTTCGAATTTGTTCCAACAATCTCTTAGGAAGATGTATTTGTGGAACACCTGATTGGATCTGTTGAAGGTTACTGTCATAGATGCGGGTGTCACCCTCGGCATCTTCCTCATCCGCTAAAAAAGAGTACATGGCCTCATCAAAGTAGAAATCATTATTTTTAGGCGCTGCTAAAGCGTCTTTGAACGATTTTTGCTTCTGGCCCTCTAGCTGCGAGGTTTGGGTAACATTCTCTATCAGCGAGAGGGAGG